TATATATATATATATATATATATATATATATATATATATATATATATATATGAAGTGGTTCAAATGAGAACCCTAAAAGGTTGAAAACCATAAAAACTATTTTTTTAAATATTTTTATTAAGGGCATGTTGGACAAATCCAACATTTATATTGTATTAAGAAAACTTTTTCATTACTTAATATACAAACTACTTGCCACTTGTCATCAGTCAACCGTATGACCATCGTCGGACCACTGTCGGACTGCCATCGTACTAACATTAAATTCAGTGGCATTTTTTTGGTGGTATTCACAGTTTAATAGAATAAACATTAAAGCTCCCATTTATTTGGAAATACTTTTTATTTTTCCAGCCATAATATACAAAATTTTAGTAAAAAAAATAGAATTATGCCTTGATAAATTCATTTTTTTTCTAAATTGTAGATATCTTTATGAAATATATATTGTGTATAAGTTGTATTCACAGTTTAAAATACATTATTCACAATTTAATAAATATACTAATTCACTAATACACAATTTATTTTTTTAATATTTGCATGCATACCTTCATTCATATTTTAACATGAAATTTATATAAAATGTACAACTTAATACAGTCCGGTTTTTTAGTTTAATACATAAAATTCACAACATAACATAATAAAATACATTATACACTAATTCACATATTTAAAGGAGTCGAATCCAAACTCTACCACCACCACCAACTACCCCACACCACCACCAACCACATGTGTCACTGTTGCAATCTTCTTTCTTTCCAAATTAGATCTGTATATAAAATCATTAACTGTCTAGTTAAATACTATATTCACAATTTAATAAACCAATTAAATAACTTATTATGAGTTTAATGAAAAATAATTATACAAAATTAGTACTCTTACATATTTATACAACAAAAAAAATAAATATATTTACAAGAAAATTAATACAAACATTCATACATAAATCATTCATATTTTAACGTAAAGTTCATTAAAATTTAACAACTGAATATAGTTAATTCATAGTTTAAACAGAAAATTCACAGCATAATGCAGTTAATTTAAAATTTTAAACACGAAAATCACAGTTTAATACACAATTAGCAGCTTAATATAGTCAATTCAAAGTTTAAACAAAAAATTCACAACTTAATGTAGTTAATTCACAGTTTAGAACACAAAAATTACAGCGTAATACATAAAATTCACAACTTATTACAATTAATTCATAGTTTAATAAACAAAAAGTATAAAACTCACAATCATATTATCAACTTAAAACTGTTAATACAATCAATCCTAAGTTTAATACACAAAATTCACAACTTAATAAAATAAATTCACAGTTTAATACACAAAAATTATATATTTACATTCATATTCTCAAATTAAAACTTACATTTATACGTTCGTATATGGAGGCATGTCTATGTATTAAATTGTGAATTTAATATATTGAGTCTTGAATAAAATTCACAACTTAATATATAAAATTCGCAATTTAATACAATACATGCATAGCTCATTTACAAGTATAATCTCATATTTCATTTTATTAAAAAACTAATTTATTGTTTAATAGATACATAAATTATCTAATATTTCAGAAGAAAACATCAAAATAAAAACACATAGATGAATCATAAGATGATAACTTATCTGGAATCAACAAAGAAGATGAGTGAGAAATAGAACATATCCTTACTCTACAGCCACCATCATTATCAACATCACCGACTACCATCAACCATCGCCACCACCAACCACCGGTGCAAACACCTCCAGCATCCTTCCTCAAAAATCATATCTGGATAAAAAAATATACATTCACAGTTTAATAACTTACATATTCACAAATTAATAAATAAAAAGCACATATTCACAGCTTAATGACTTACCAAATTTCGTTGATGCATTTCATCATGTCACGCCCCCCCAACCAGGATGACGGAAACGTCCGGGGGGGGGGTGGTGGATGAATTTCATTCTTTCTCGAATTCGTACGATCTTCTCTGTTGTCTCCCTTATGATCTCAGGGCCGGTGAAAGTGCTGTCAGGAACTTGCCCCTTTGCTAGTTGTGTGTCACCCACTTCAGCCCATCACAGAGGTGATCTGCACTTGCGGCCATAGAGGGTTTCGAATGGAGCAACTCCGATGATAGTGTGATAGCTATTGCTGTTTGAGAACTCGACGAGTGGTAAATGTGTATCCCAAGCTTTACCAAAGTCTATCACACAAACTCTCAACATATCCTCCAATGTTTGGATAGTTCTTTCGCTCTGCCCGTCGTTCTGTGGGTGGTAGGCCGTACTCATGTCGAGTTTAGTTCCTAAGGATTTTTGTAGTGACTTACAGAACCGTGAGGTGAATCTACTATCTCTGTTAGAGATGATGGATATCGGTACACCATGTAATTGTACGATCTCTTTAACGTAGGTTCTGGTTAGTTTCTCCATCTTGTCAGTTTCTTTTATTGGCAGGAAGTGCGCGGATTTGGTCAATATGTCAAAGATCACCCAGATGGTGTCGAGTCCACCTGTCGTCTTGGGTAACTTGGTGATGAAGTCCATGGTTATCCGCTCCCACTTCCACTCGGGTATTTCTAGTTATTGTAGTAAACCCGAGGGCTTTTGGTATTCTACCTTGACCTTGGCGCAAGTCAGGCGTTTGCCCACATAGGTAGCAATTTCTGCCTTCATGTTTGGCCACCAATATAACTTCTTGAGGTCTAGGTACATCTCGTCTGCACCAGGATGAATGGAGTATTTGGTCTTGTGAGCCTCGTTCATGACAACGTCTCTGTACCCACCAAACTTCGGTGTCCAAATTTTTATCCATTCCTGTTAACATTTTTAGTCCCTCCTCCTCTCATTTATTTCAACTTAAGTTCCAATAATTACCGCGGAGCCCCTGTCTTCATAATTATTTACAACCTGAATCAAGATTTTACACTTTTAACCCCCAACTTTTAAATTATGACAGTTAGCTCCTCGAGACCCACACCTTGCTATATAATTATTGATTTTAGGGCTACTATACATTCATGAATCACTTTATTTATTCATTTAATAAACGGGGTGTTACAAATCTCCCCCACTTAAATTAGATTTCGTCCTCGAAATCGTTTCTTACCATTCCTTACACGCCAAACTACTCAAGTAACATGACCACAACCTGGGCACACCCTAGCCTTCTCAAGGTAACCGTAACCAACCCTCGCATGGTTCTGAAACCTGAAGATGAACGAATTCCTTGTAATGTGATCACGTTTACTCCGTCTGAGATCAGTAGTCTCGAGATGGTATGACTCCCTGACAGACCGCTCATACTGAATCATTATTGTTGAATCCCATCCACTTATCTCTCAACTAACTATTCAACTTCTGATAACTAGAGGTTCCCACTGGAAAACAGAATCACGGACCTACTTATCCCTGCAGATCACTTATACTTTGCTAAGGCTCAACTAATCCCGTTGTGAGTGACTTGTCACTTCCCAAATCAACCAGCTATTCTGTCCATACTCGCAACCTAAAACACAAATACTAACACTGCCCAAACGTTGAAACTGCCCGAACACTGAACTGCCTGAAGCAGTATGTTGCCACATGGCTACTTTCCAATATCTACCGAGATCTGCCTGGTCTCAATTCGTTCGCCAATCATATGAAATATCGGGTCCCGGCCCTGCTGCGGAGCCAAAGGACTCCCACT